TGTGTAAAAAATTTTTGAATCCTGGACAATATGCTGATCACAATTGTACATTTTATATTCATAAAATATTATTAATAGTCATAACAGCATTGTTAACACTTAAGACATTCCATCAAGTTTCATGGGATACAGACAACTATATAGTTGGCCTGCAGAAGGAAACTGAAATGTACCATAAATGATATTCTGGGAACAAAGACATTAAAAATAGCAGAGATCACCATCTATCTGGTAAAACCTTTCGACATAAGTTTTGAAAGCAGTGTAGATAATGATAGTAAAAATTGTTTGAAATACAGATTGAAAGGTTTTGTACAACAGTATATGTATTTTTGTCACCATTGGTTAGTTCTCATTTTTATTCACTTCGCAAAAATTTGAATTATACGAGCATTCAAGTTTTATATTCGGAATTTAATAATAAAAATAACAGGAAGAGAAGGCCTTTTATTTGAAAATTTTTGCTATTAATGGTATACATTTTTAGAAATTCGTTTGTTTATAGTATCATGTGAAAAACAAAAAATTTTAACTGCATCCCCTGAATTTTTTAATAATATGTTGTTCATGTAAGCAGCGTAGTTCAGTATGTGCATATATGTACTATGTTATTAGAGCAATGCTATTTCAGTGTAAATGAGAAAGTAACTATGATTCTTTTATGTAGTAACATGGTTACTGGCTAAAGTTAACCTGAATAATGAAATTGTTTTTTTGCCAGCAAAAGTTGCGAAGCATATTTCAAATGTGGTGCTGAAAGGATTTTGAACTTCTAAATTGCATGTATATGATATGCATATATGTGCAGTTTAGTTTCTTTAAAAATTTTCTATGAATTAAGATAAACTTGTTCGTAATTTTTGTATGCAATAACTCTTGCTATTAAATAATACTTACTTAGATAAAATCTGCATTGTGATGTTTTCAAACTTCAAATTATCTATGTCAATCTTTTAAAAATTAAATTACTACATTACTAAAATTTATATGTTTGAAGACTGATTAAATCAGATTTGAAATTATTTGAGTAACCAAGCATTTTTACGGTCAGTAGCACTTTTTATGCCAAAACTCAGAACAAATCCCTCTCACCTTGGATTGTTCTTTTCTTTTTCTCCCCCCTCTTTTTGTGCTTGTTTTAAATTATAGATGTCAATTTTTATTTTTCAGTAAAAACTGAACTTTATGTATAGAACGACTTTTAGTAATATTATATAATACTATGATAATTATTATAGTTACTGCTAGTTAAATCGTTTTAATGGCCTTTAACTTTTTTAATTTATATCCAGCCTTTTAGGAGTGATAATGCACTAATTTTAAAATTATTTTGGAACTTTTAAGATGTTGCAGTATGCTAATGTATAAATAAGAATTTAATTTGAGCTCAGAATTTCAACACATTTTGAAGATTAATTATATAGCTATATATTTAATTATATAGTTAGCAGAATGAATAAATAAAAGTATTCTGTGAAATAAAAAAAAAAGTATATTTGAAGAAATGAAAATGTTTTGCCTGTTTTTGTAAATTAGAAATCTTCAAAGGAAAATAATCACACTTTACTGTATGTTTTTATTCTAATTCCAGTTTTCTGGTATTTTCCCCTTAAATCACTTGCATTATTAACTGATCAGAACTGCATCTATAGTTTTTACTTCCTTGTATATTTAAAACATTCTGCATATTTGTTACAATTATTATAATATGAAATGAATACCATTGTAGTTGTCTACTAGATATTGCGAGGTAGATTGTAGAGAAAGGAGAAGGGTACAAAACCCTTCGTTTCTATTCTTTGTGATGTGCTGTTGGTGAAAACTAGGGTGGAGCTTTGACAGATAACCCTTGTATGCCTTGCTTTAATAAATTAATCCAATCCAATGTCTATAGACATTAAAACAGGTGCTGATGAGCATACATGTATTTATGAGCAATTTTAAATAAATTTATTTTAATCCAGGTATTGACAAACCAATGCATTATTTTCTCATCTTCCCTCCCCCTCATATTAATTATTCACCCTTTTGATTCATGGCGGTTTAGTTTGAAATTTAGGTTAATGTTGTTTGAAGAACCTGTTAACAGTATTGAGAAAATGACATGTGAATATCACTAGCAGCATTTGCATGTAACATAACTCTCTCTTGAATTCATTTTTACATTATTAGTAGTAGTTAATAACATATTCATAGTTCAAAAGTTCCGAAAAAATAATAAAAACTTAGATATACATGAATTTCAAAATGATTTGGCTTTTGTGGGCGTTGAGGTAGTTTGTAATTGGGAAGACTGCATCATCTCTTAAGGATAATTTGCATTCTTTATGTCTCAAACACTCCTTAAAAAAGATATGCAATCTATGTTTCTGATAAACCATATGTTTGATTTTCTGTTGATGGTTATTCTGTTTCTTTTGCTGTCCATCTCTCTGTCAAATATATTTTCATTCAATCAGTCAGCAGTTAACATTTGTGTTACCTGATAACAGTAAAATAGGTAAAACATAAATTAGGAAATCAGAATATTTTTAAAGTATATGTATTTTTTTAATATGTATGTGAATCTCACAAAGCTGTGTATTTTCATTAGAACTTGGACCAATTTTCAATTTTTTTTTTGAATAAAAGTATAAGTTGATATCTTTTAGTAACTTATTTTTTATACATGTCAAATTCTGCAGATTTAAAATGAGAAACGCGAGTGTGTAATTAAAAGTTAATATGAGTATTTTGTTATCATACACCCTTTCTATAAGACATAAATATGAATAATTTATATTATTTAACCTTGAGAAATATATTTTTAAAAACAGCAATGAACATATTTTGCAATTATTATTTTTTAAAAGAGAGCACCTACTTTTAAATGCATAGGAAAATTAAGATGGTATTCTGAAACATCTGAACTTAATATACAAGGTGTGTTCGAAAAATTCGGTGATTGATCTCATAATTAAAAAAACCACACCGGTTATGATCTTGCACTCACGCAGACGCAGTGAGAGAAATGTCGTCTAGAGCGATCTAACGGCCATTTTACGACAGATAAGAGGAAGCGCACGCTATGAGCAGTTTAACACAGTCAGTGTGAGAAAGATTGTCAATGTGACATGGAGTAACACATAAACATAAAGTTTTGCTTCAAGTTAGGCAAAACGGCAACGGAGACACATGACATGTTAGTGAAAGTTTACGGTCAGGAAGCAGTGAGTAAAAAGTGTGTTTATGAGTGGTTTAAATGCTTTACAGACAGAAAGGAGGATGTCAAAGATGAGCCACGGTCGGGGCGCCTTACAACAAGCACAACTCCAGACAATGTGGAACGAGTTCAATGGATGCTTGGCGGCAGATCGACGACTATCTTTAAGAATGATAGCTGGCAAATTGCAGATAAGCCTAGACAGCGTGAGCACCATTGTGCACAAACATTTGCATAAACACAAGATATGTGCCCGGTTTGTACCGCACTCGCTGTCAGACGAGCAAAAGCAATACCGGATCGAAACCTCTGGAGATTTTATTGACATGTGTGACCGGAATCCGCAATTCTTGGAAACAATAATTACAGGGGATAAGTCGTGGTGCTATCAATACGATCCGGAGACCAAGCGGCAATCCATGGCATGGTGTTCAACGTCGTCACCCCCTCCCAAAAAAGTCGTTTGACACAATCCAGGATCAAGACCTTGTTGATCGTCTTTTTCGACAGTAAGGGTTTGATCCATCGTGAATTTGTACCCGTGGCTACAATCGTCAATGCGGAATACTATGAGGGGGTTTTGAAACGGCTGGCTGCTATGTATATGCCGGATTCGGCCACAGTAACCGGAATGGACAGTGGAATCTTGCTCCATGACAATGCCCGGCCGCACACTGTGATCCGTGTAACCTCAATTCCTCGAACAGGCACCAGGTTCCAGTTTTGGATCACCTCTCCATATTCTCCAAGATCTGGCTCCCGCGGGACTTTCTTCCTGTTGCTCCCTCACCTCAAAAGGAGTTCTGAAAGGCCAACACTTTTCCGACATTACTGAGATCCGACAACGGTGCTTCGAGCCATACCGAAAGAAGCGTTTGCAGACAGTTTCCAACAATTGTACACCCGATGTCAAAAATGTATTGTTGCTAATGACAAATACTTTGAAGGCCAGTAAAGCTTTTTTTCTTGTTTCTCTTGTTTCCTTTTTTTTTTTTTTATGATAAAATTCACTGAACGTTTTGAACACACCTTGTATATGTATGTATGAAATAATTAGGATATTGAAGACATGTAGATGCATTGTTATTGACAAATATTTTCTAAGCAAATGCAGATAAATTGGCATAGTAAGTGCACATGTTCTTGCAAACTATATCATTAAGACTTTTGAAATATATTTGGAGGTAGAAGAAACAAAAAGCATTAGCGTGCGAGAAAGAATGTGATGTATTCAAGATGAAAGTGTAGTAAAAATGATTTAGTTCGGATTTTTCTTCACTGGTTAATTTGAAGTTTCAGTTCCCAAATCTGAACTGTTGTACATTTGCTGAAGCCTTATGTAAGTATCTGTGTCATTAATGTTATGTAAGAATCATGGCAGCGATTAATTTTGAAATAACACAGTTTAGAACAATTTATAAGCAATAACTATTTTTAGGATAAAAAGGGGAAATAACCAAATAAAAAAGGGAATTAAGCGCAAATTAAAGTTAAAATTTATCTTGCATTTTTTAAAATAATTTTTAAAATAATCTTGCATGTGTATATTAACATTTAGTTATGAAGATTAGCGAGGGAACCAGATCCACAGAAATCATTTTGTGATTAAAAAGAGGAATTTATTTAATGATACTAAATAGTCTCTCATAATGTTCATATGAGTTAATACGTATTCATTTTTAAAACAGTGGTCCATGTTTTTGGAAGTCATATTCTGGACTTAATTCTATTATTGTATTCCAATTCATTATTGAGTGGTTTTTCACTACATATTAAATAATCATCTAAAATATCACAGTATGAAAATATTTATGCATATATTTTTTCTAAACTTCTTTTTGCGTCATGGATTTTATATCAAATATTTCTTCACAGCTGTAAATCTAGGTTTCAAATACAATATAGAAATTAAATCTGAGACAGTTTCTGTTTCCTGTAACAAGATTTATGAAATTTGTTTAAATTATTTCCCTTTATTGGACATTCTTTCTTTCATTAAATTAATGCTTTCAGATATTCAAACATAAAAATACTCTTAAGGCAAATCAGCACTGAAATACTTCCACTTGTAAGTCCTGCTTGTCAGTGGTGTAGATAAATGCTGCATCCTTACAGATGAAAGAGGATGTGCAGTGGTTCAGTCATCTCTGCATTCTCATTCCTGAAATATTTTCTTTTATGTACATTAGGATTTTTTCTTTCCCTCTAGCTCTCGATATTGCCATCTAAAAGTCCACCCAAAGCATAGCAAAACCCAGTTTGTACTCGCAGTCACCATTCTCGGTTGAAAAAAAATTTTTTTTTTCATGTTACATGTTGAGGAATGGATGGTCTAGGCACTTGTAATTTGTCCGCTAGAGCTATTATTTTTTCTAATGTTGATCGTACCTAAAATGGAAAAATCAAATTAGACTATAAAGGTCTTGATTTAAGAAATCTACTTCATTTGAAATCTGCATTTTGGAAATGGAAAAATTAGTTAGCAATTTATTTCATAGTAGACTGTTTGGAATATTTTCTTTTAGTGAAATGTTCAAGTGTATAAAGAAATTGTATAGAAAATTTTTTTTTAAATTTATAACTTTTAATAATTATGTATAGCAGAAAGCTTTTGAATATGTTATTAAATGATTAATAGATTATTATGCATATTGCCCTATAATAATATTTTTGGTTTCTTTCTCCCTAATGCCGAGTCTCAGATTAAATTTAATGAAATTACTAACCTTGCATGTTGCAGTAATACAAAACTATATTATAGTTTATCAATAGAGATTTAGTTATTTAATGTCTTAGATAACACACGATACTGAAATTTATTGCTTAGTAATTTATTTCTTAGGTTTAGTTCCTATTTTAATGAAATCTACAGTGCCACCAAAACTTGATTAGACTTGTCTGAAGTATGACAGCAGACCCAAATGTTTTCGTATGAAAGTGTCTGGAAGCGACACTGAGTCTGAACGAAAGTGGAAAATCATTGCTAGGGTCTGCTGCCATTTACCTGTCAACTATTGCTGGCGATACAGCTTTATTCACCCTCTTACTGATTATTTGTTAGCTTATACTATGTACATTTTTTTGCACTTATTTACTATTCATTACAATATATCCTATCTAATTATGAATGGATAAAATGGTTAGTAAAACAACAGCCACAAATGTGCTTGTTATAAGTGATAACAATCAGATGATGTCCAGATGGGAACAATTTTTGTTGATGACACTAACAATAAACACCTAAGTGATGTTCAGCCAAACATGAAATCCAGGACTGCTGCATGAGGCCATTACACATATAAAAAAGAAGAAAATATTCTAGATCTGAGAGTAAACTAATGATTATATGAAATTTGGTTTCATGAAAGCTGCTGATGAAAAACCATTGTGCGTTATTTGTTATATGGCCTTATCAAATGAGACCTTCAAAACTGAAGCGGCACTTGGAATTAAATCATTCAAACTTCAATAACAAGGTGATTGATTTCTGTATAATTAAGAAGAAAGACTTAATAACAAACTTTATCGTTGAATGTTTCTCAGCAGTGTGTCTGAAAATCTAGTTATGGCTTTTTATGAAATATCCGAATTAATTGCTGAAGTTGGATATCCTCATACAATTGTGATAAAGTTAATAATTCCTGCAATGAAAATGTTGCATAATATATGTAATACAAAAACGTGTACTCATGTAAACTCATCTATGTAAAAAAAAAAAAAAAAAAAAAAAACCACCAAAACCAAATAATTATGCTTTCTCTTCAATAACATAGAGAAGTATGAAGTTGTGGAAATAGCAGATAATATCGAAGAGACTGATTTGTCGAGAGTTGCAGCTTGCACTGATCTAGAGATGCAGTTTACTTAAAGCAATGCATTTTTATTTCCTATGTAAGTCAGTGAAAGGGTAGATATATCAGATAATGCCAATTTAATGTGTTTAGTGAATTATGATTTTCAGAATACATATAATGAAGAATTCTGTTTTTCAAGCAATTAGCTGCAAGAACAACAGTAGAAGAAATTTTTAACTTGATTGATACTTACTTCAGTCGAAATGACAATGACTGGAAAATTATGTGGGACTGAGCAGCAGTGGTGCTTGTGCAATGGCAGGCATCTATCTGTGCAGGGCGTTTTTCCCAAAATAAAGGCCATGGAACCAGAATGTGTATGATTGCATTGCAGCTTACACACAGAAGGCTATAAAAATTGCTATTGCTTTTGCAAACTGTTAAGCAAGAATATATGAAATTTATAAATTTTATGTAGCATTGTCCCTTGAATTCCAGGTTTGTTCAGTGCATTATGGGAAAATATGGACAGTGACCATAAACAACATCCTTTACATTGTCAAGTACAATGGTTATCCAGAAAGAATGTATTGAAGAGACTTGGAAATGAGAAAAGTTTTTTTTTTTTTTTTTTTAAACCAACAGTACCTTATGGCTAAAGATGTAGTATAAGTGTTGTTATTTGTCTGATGAAGTTATCTTACTTTTATAACATTTTTTATTTTTCAAATAAATTAAAACTTTTATTACAAAGAAACTGTACCTGTATTGAAAATGTAAGAAAAAATGGAAGCTGCAGTGAAAAGACTCAGTTTGTGTGAAAGTAGGAAATTACAGTGCTTTTATGAAGTGCAAAAAAGATACACTGTTAGTTCCATGCCTAATGAAATTTAATGTACCGTCAACGAACATCTGATAGGATTGCAGACAAATCTGAAAGAATATTTTCCTTGGATTCAGGTATTGAATCTATTATTGAACTCTCTTGTGATACAGAGCTTCAAGACAGCTTGAACAGAATACCATTGCTAGATATTTGGCCTGTCATCAAGAGTATCCATTTTTGACACAAAAAGCAATTAGGAGAGTGGTTAGTGACGCTGTCTTCTATACCAAAGAAGCCCGGAGAAGACATGGATGGAATGTTTATAAATTTATAGTGTCTATACAACATAGCGGCACTCTAAAAAGCCCTCTTGAGAGATTGATGGTAGGGTAAGAGCAGTGTGAGCGGACCAGTCTCCCTGGCAAAGAATCTCTAAGGAGAAGAAGTAAAGGTTTCCCGAAGCAAATGTGGCTCCGCCAGACTGAAGAGACACTCTGTGTATGTCCCTGAAGCTTATTTTAAAGGGGCAATCCATCCACCCTCCGTACCTTTCTGCGCATGTGCGAAATAGCAGGCAAGAAACCGGCATGTCGTCAGCCATATTAGCAATCTTTTACCCCACGTTGTTCGAAGAGGTTCATTGAAAGTTTTTTTCAGTTCTTTTCTCTGGTTATTTAAGCTGATCATAAGATGGATGTTTCGCAAGGACGATCACCGGAATTCACCCGATTCTCTTTCTGTGAGGTAAGCTTGCTTTTTTAATTCGAAAACCTATCATAGATTTTAAAAATTGATTTTGTATAGTACATTAATTTTGATTCCCAAGCTCCAAAAATATTTTGTCTCATTGTATCACACAGCAGCTAGATTTTCATTCTTAATATATTAACTTTGCATTTTAGCATATGAATCTCAATTTATATAATTAATCATATGGCAAACAAATACTATAGTTTTTTGCAGGCATATTGGCTATTTCTTTCCAAATTTTTTTACTGAGTTTTAAGCTTTAAAGTCAACTAATAATAATATTACGACAAAACGAGCGATCAGGAATAAATTTGCCATTTATAATAATGCGGCAGCTAATGGCATGTATGATTGCATAAATTAATTTTATTAATAAATTGTATTATGCTTCAGCTTTAAATTTATGCTATAGATTACCAAATAATTTATCTGAGAAAATTTATAAACTTATTTAATATTAGTGGCCACTGAAGACTATTTTAGTATATTGATAGTTATATACAATTTTTCGTATTTTATGATTATTTTTGAAAATTTTATATTCATTATTATAAAAATATAATTTTGATTTCTCTCAATATTTGATGTGGTTTAGTGAATAACAGACTAACTCAATCTATCTTTTACTTAGCAAACAACCCAAATCCTGGTATCGCTGTAGTGTTTGTGGGACATCTCGAAAAACACCAGACAGGAAATTTTTCAGATTTCCTAAGGATCCTATTAGGTAAATCATTTCTAAGTTTAAAAGAAACTAAGCTTTGATATTAATAATATATATATATATCTCAATTTTTGATAGAGAAGCAAATATTTCATGTATTTGGAATAATTTAAATAAATAGCTTGTTTTTTTTCCATTAAGTGTTCCTCATCATGGACAAATAGTTCAGTGTTCTTCTGTAAATATTCAAGATAACTGTGCTTGTGATACAGTTGCTCCCAAAAGTGTTCATACACTTTAAGAATTTGTAAAAAATGCGCTGTAGCCCGGAATTGAATTTGATTATAAAGCCCAATATTTTCTCATATCTCGAAGTGATTTTGAATAAAACCAAATTTTTTAAAAATTTTTTCTTCTAATATTTTAGAAGGATAATTTTTGTAATTTATGTATTACAAGCTTGAATGCTGCAGGATATCCTACAAAAACTGACAGAAATTTAACTGCAATATTTCGTAATAGTGTCTGCAGATTTCTTTAAAGTGCACGAAGATTTTTGTGAGGTAACTTTTTTGTTACTTTTTAATTATTAATTCCCCCCCCAAAGTTTTACTGTATTCTTATAATACTTTTATAGAGTTTTGCTAAGATAAATTTATAGATATTAAAAAATTCTCACAGCACTATTTCACTGAAACATAAGTGTACGAACACTTTAGGGAACCACTACATATTAGTGTGAATAAGGAAGGAAACATTTTAAAGATGCACTTTACGAACAATGTGTACTTTTTATTGGTGCCTTATCCTTTTTTAATCATATTGTTAACAAAACTGTACAAAGAAATGCTAAATTGTTTAACTAGATACTATGACCGGTAACTACAATTTAACACAATATCTGCAAAATTATTGGTTTTCGTACATCAAAATAAAATTAGATGAAATGCAATCGTTTCAGAATTTGTTACTAATGTAAAAGGAATTTTTTAACAAGGTTAAATTTCTAATAACACTGAAAAGAGGTTCTTTTAATTAAAGAAAATAAAATTGTTTTTTTTTTTTGTTTTCATAGATCAAAATAATAGAGAATTAGTATAAATATGTCAGAAATGTAATAAATCATATTATGTACATGAATTTTTCCTTAAATTATAATTTAATGTTTGTTCTTAAAAAATATATAACCCTTCTCGAGATTGTGTAACTAATGTATAAGGAATGTTTTTTAGTTTGCTATTTTTCTACTAACACTGAAAATGGATTTATTGAAATTTAAAATATAAAATTAATGTTTTTCATTTTTATAGATCAAAACAATGGGCTCCCGCATGCAGTAATCAAGACTTGTTAAATAATATCACCAACTAATTTGTATAAAACTGCACTAATATGTTCGTCACACTCCAAAGATCATGATTACTGTTCACCAAAGATGCGATATTTACATTCCTGTGCAGTGCCGACAAAATTTGAACAAACAGGTATCTACAGTGTTTACTGTTATTATTTCAATATGCTTAACAATAGTGCCATCTAAGAAATAACTCATCAATAATAGTGGATCACCTGTCATGTTATGCTCAAAGAATACTGTGCAACAAAATTGATGGTTTGGATCGCCTGTCAAGACTTGTTAAATAAATCACCAACTGATTTGTATAAAACTGCACTAATATGTTCGTCACATTTCAAAGATCACGATTACTGTTCACCAAAGATGCGATATTTACATTCCTGTGCAGTGCCGACAAAATTTTGAACAAACAGGTATCTACATTGTTTATTGTTATTATTTCAATATGCTTAACAATAGCACTATCTAAGAAATAACTCGTCAATAATAGTGGATCACCTGTCATGTTATGCTCAAAGAATACTGTGCAACAAAATTGATGGTTTGGATCGCCTGTCATGTTATGCTCAAAGAATGCTGTACAACAAAATTGACGGTTATTAGTCGAAATATTGACTGTTGATTTTTGGCAAAATTAAAATTATGTAAAATCCAAGCATACAGCATTTTTAGAATTATTATATGTATAGTGAAGGTGGAAAATAGGCATTTCTTGCAATTGCTATTTAAAAGAATTAATTTCTAATTTCATAATTTGAAACAATCTTCATCAGGATGAGCTGCAAGCAATATTTATTTGATTCAGTGGATTATTTACAAAACTTCTTAATACCTATAGGTTTGATTTTCAAGTTAAGTATTTAATGTTATATTAATAAATGTGAGACGTATTGAATATTTTATGAACAAAAAGAATGAAATTAGTTATTTTAGTAATTTATGTGCAACTTATGTAAGACTTTTTAAATGTAATCTTGTATTTGTTAATTTAAGTGAAATGCTTTTGGCTTTTGGTTGCAAACTTTGCTCTTTTTTCATAATGGTCATTCCAAATAATTAAAATTTCTCTTTTTTTTTTTCTTCTTTAAAGTTGAGGTCAGATAATTGTAATGTATTTCAGTGTTTTCAATTTATTTAGGGGTACTTTTAATTGTTTTTAATTATTTTTTCTGTTTTGGTTAGTTATATGCAAATTTTGCTTGTAAAATTTTAAATATGGATTCATAAAAATTCATTATGTGTTGCATGGTATGTGTTTTCTTCTTTTTTAAGCTTACAGAATTAAATGTACTCATTGGTCGAATAATTCTTTATTAAATAGATTTTTGGCAAAATTAAAATTATGTAAAATCCAAGCCCAAGCATACAGCATTTTTAGAATTATTATATGTATAGTGAAGGTAGAAAGTAGGCATTTTTTGTAATTGCTACTTAAAAGAATTAAGTTCTAATTTCATAATTTGAAATAATCTTCATCAGGATGAGCTGCAACAATATTTATTTGATTCAGTGGATTATTTACAAAACTTCTTAATACCTATAGGTTTGATTTTCAAGTTAAGTATTTAATCTTATATTAATAAATGTGAGAAGTATTGAATATTTTATGGACCAAGAGAATGAAATTAGTTATTTTAATCATTTTTGTGCAACTTTTATAAGACATTTTAAATGTAATCTTGTATTTGTTAATTTAAGTGAAATGCTTTTGACTCTTTGTTTTCATAATAGTCATTCCAAATAATTAAAATTTCTTGGTAATTTTTTTTATTTTTTTTTTTTTTTATTTATTTATTTTTTTTTTTTTGAGGTCAGATAATTATAATGAATTCAGTGTTTTCAATTTATTTAGGGGTACCTGTAATTGTTTTTAATTATTTTTTTTTGTTTCAGTTAGTTATCATGCAAATTTTGCTCATAAAATTTTAAATATGGAGTTATAAAAATTTATTATGAATTATATGGTATGTGTTTTCTTCTTTTTTGAAGCTTACAGAATTAAATGTACTCATTGGTCGAATAATTCGGGATTAAATAGATTTTTGCAAAATTAAAATTATGTAAAATCCAAGCTACAGCATTTTTAGAATTATTATATGTATAGTGAAGATGGAAAATAGTCATTTTTTGTAATTGCTATTTAAAAAAATCAATTTCTAATTTCATAATTTGAAATAATCTTCATCAGGATGAGCTGCAACAATATTTATTTGATTCAGTGGATTATTTATAAAATTTCTTCCCAGGTTTTAATAACACCTGGAAGGTTTGATTTTCAAGTTCAGTATTTAATCTTGTATTAATAAATGTAAGAAGTATTGAATATTTTATGAAAAAGTAATGAAATCACTTATTTTAATAATTTATGTGAAATTCTTTAAAAGGCCTTTTAAGTGTAATTTTGTATTTGTTAATTTAAGTGAAATGCTTTTGGTTCTTGGCTGCAAAATTTGCTCATTGTTTTCATAATGGTCATTCCAAATAATTGTCTAAAAAATTTCTTGGTATTTGTGAAGATGCTTAAAATTATTTTGCATATGTATATTCTAAAACTTGAGAAATGTCAATAAAAAATCATTTTTTTACCTCAAATGTGTTATTCTTTGTTTTAATATTTAATAATATGCTTGATATGAAAAGAAAAATAGCGTTATTTATGTAATTAATTGCAGATTTGTTAGAAATCTAACATCACGGCAGTAGTAGTTAATTTTGTTTTCTATTAATTCTGATGTTAGTTATAAATTAATGCTAGATATTATATCAAAAGAATAACAATTCTGTGAGTTTACAGAAAGAAGGGTTAAGGGGTAAAAATAAGGAATATAAAAATAATAAAATTTATTTATTTATTCATTTATTTTGCAATTGAATTTTAGGATGTTCTATGCGAAACATCTAGACGATTAAAGATTAGAAGATAAAAGATCAGCTACACAATTTATCTGAAATGTATGAAAATAAAACATTTTGAGGAATTTCAAAGTAAAAAAAATTACTATCTCCTCGGACTGCGCTATTTAAATTCCACCCTGCGCTGCTGTTTCACTGCATAGCAGCCGTGGCTCCTCGATATAGCGGCGCAGAGGCGAAACAAGTTTACATTGCGTCTATGGAAGCTTTCATTCTTTTCCTTACAGATTCTTTGTCCTCTTTCGCTCCTTGGGGGGGGGCCCAAGTTATAACATATTGTGGTTTGCCTGACAAGATTCATCCTTTTAACTTCAAGTTTTGAAAAGAAAGTGTGTTTCACAATTTTTTCTCCAATGCTTTAAAAAATAAATACAGGAACCAATTAAATGTTGAACCATATTTAAAAATTTGTCATCTGTAGACCTGAAAGTTCTATTTAATGAGAACATAGCTCATCTGATTAAAACTTGTTATTTTACATTTTTGTATATATTTTTGTGACTTTCACAAAAAGGAAATGTATTTGAACATTGAAATTTATTTAATTTAGTACAGTAAAAGTCTTTAATCCGGAATAATCTATAATCCGGATCTCAAACCTACAAACTTTCCGCACATGCGCATAATATGTTGACGCATGCGCGTTTAATGTATAACGGACGGTGTAAGCTAATCTAAAGTTATCTAATTATCGATTTCAGTTAATGTTGCAAATTGCGTTGTTCCTTAATCTTCGAATTGGATCCGGCTTATTATTTCTTGCAAACTGTTAGAGCAATTTTATAAAAGTAAGCTCGAACTTTCGATTATGTCAAAAAGAATTTCCGATTCTGGAGCTGCCAAAGGATCTACAAAGCGAAAGCATGTTTCGATGTCCATCAAACAAAAAGTGGAAATGCTGCAAAAAATGGATAAATGGAATCACAACAACAAGTTAGTTTTCTCCAAACTAGCTTTTATAAAAAATAAATACAGGAACCAATTAAATGTTGAACCATATTTCCTTTGTTTCTCTAACCATTCCGAAATCTATTTATCAATTTCACGCTGCTCTGCGGGGGAGGACGTCGCGGCGCGCAATGAACTGGAAGTTGATCTGTCAGCACTATCCTTATCTTTAGAGCAGATGTTTTTATTTTATTAAGCTTAATAATTCTTTATTAAATGTAGTATTTCATCTCGATGTACTCCGTCTTTGATATGATATAAATCAAATTCCTCGTCATTATAAATATCACGAATACACATCAAATAGTTTTCTGGTTGCAATTTTCACGCATGCGCGCGTTGAAAGAAATGTTTAATAAAGTAAACAAATAAATATTAAACTTTTTTTTTGGTAAATTTTGATACCCTTTAGATTATAAATGCTCTTTATTTCATAAATTATGGTATCATATTTTTAATTTTATAATTTCTGCATGCCATCTTACCAGATTTAAATTGATGATCTATAATCCAGAATCGCCGAATGTCCAGAAGAGTCCGGATTAAAGACTTTTGACTGTAATAGCAATAAATATTTTTCTTGGGTCATGAGAAAAAGTTTGGGAAACCCTGTCGTGGTATATATTCTTTGAATATTTCTGAGTTTTTTAACTGAATTAGTAAAAAATGGGGAACTAACTGTCCAAAAGACCAAAAATTTATATGGTTTTCATAAATTTTAATTTATTTTTTATCTGCAGTATTTTAAATTGTTGTCTTATCAATGGGAATATTCTTACAAATATGTCAAGTCGAAATATGAAAAAATACTAATAATTAGTAACAAGAATCGTGTCACATGCATAAATTTGCCAGTTTATATTTTCAAAGATTTAACTGAACCAGTTTATTCAGCCCTTATGCATTTGGCCATAAGCAAATATTTATGTATTCAAAGAGCTAAATATGTTCTTTCATTTAAAAAGAATGTGGGGGAGCATCTCATGCTGGGGTACTTAAAAATTATTTAGTTTTAGGTGTTGAAAAATTTAAGAACACTAAAATCATAAGAATTTTAGCAATGAAAGATTTAATCTTTTGATTTAAAAATATAGTGGATTTTTAAATCAAAACAATTCCATTTATTTAGCTGCTAACA